TGAGGGGATCGCATCGAGACGTCCTTCAGGGGAGGGGGGGGGCGCAAAATTCTTGAAAGAGTGCGAACGTCACGGTTGACCATAATGGGGGACCTCGTTGAATTGGAAATGCGCACTAGTTCCCGGGAGAAAATCTTCGGATTCAGTCGATGATAAGGCTACTGTGGGGATTTCCGATAATTGGAATGTGCTCTTCTACAACCCTTTGGGTGCCTTCAATTTTGAGTGTAATCATTCAATCTTCTGTTTCAAATATGGAGGTGAGTCACTTTTTTTTATTACTCCCCCTCCCCTGTAGATTCGTTGTGTAAAATTGCTCAAGGGATGCTGAAGAACTTGAACATGTTAGTCTTCATGGAAGTGCAACTACGTTCGAGGCTTCTAATCCTCAATCTGAACGGTTTGTTCAAAAATTTTCTTAGGCTTAGTTTCCATGATAAGCTGAATGGAATAGTGTTGTGTGTGAGGAAACCCAATGGTGAGAAACAAATTTCAAAGGACCACCTCGTTTCAGAGTTACGCGGAATCAACAAATTTAGCCCTTTGATGGATGGTATAAGAACAGCAATGCAGAGAAATGCATAACTGCTATGCCCATGTGATTCGAGGTTGATTTGTTTTTTATTACTTTCGGCTGCCCCAATTACAGCTGATGGAGACTTTCAATGAACACAATTCCTTTGGCCAATTTGGTCAGATGTTTGCAGTAGCAACAAATATCTTACTTGTAAGCGCTTTTGGAGTAGCAAACCAGCACATCGGGGAAGTATTATATATATATTTATTTATTCATTTATTTATGTGCCAAACGAAGAAGTTACATGGCTGCCAGGGAAGCAATGTGTGGTGCTTTTCGACTAAATGTGCGCTGGTTGCTGAGCAGGAGTTCGAAAGCACACCGCCTCAAAGATGATCCGCCCAACTTCAGTTGGTGATTTGAACGAGCTGTATTGTTAGGCACATCTGAAGTAACAGGGGATTAGATTGGCATGGTGCCACCAACGAACTGCGGTAAACTCGTCCGCACGCCCGCCGTGTAAGGCGCTGCTCGTTCTTGAGCGAAGATCAACGGCCAAACAAGGGTCCCTTTCTGCGCTTTGTTGACGGATTTTTTTGCTTTTTTTCGTCTTTGGCCCACCACTTAGCATCCCCACGTCCCCTAAACTCCTCTAGAGCCTATAGTAATCTCTGCCATTAACAGCTCAATCACATTATCAATTTTTCACATCTTATTGTTTACCACACTGAGCCTATGAGTTCGAGCAGAAACGATGATCTTACCAGGGAAGTACCTTAGGAAGTTAGGCGTTTTTCCCCCGGTTTTTGCGTGTTGTATAATAACGAGCACGGAGCATATAATTGAGGACCACTTCCTCTTTACGGCCCTGGTATAGCTAAGTAATAGTGAAAGGTTCTCCTAGAAGTGAGAGTTCTGCATTTACGGTAAATGCTAACAGTTGTAGCAGTGAGTAGTCGCACATTCAACGGTATTTTTTATTTAATGTAGAGTAGTTTATTTTTTAATTTTTTTTATTTTTATTTTGTTTTTAGTTTTTTAATTCTAATCATTATATTAAAAATTATATTAAAAAATGAAAGTTGATTTCATCATATAAAAATTTTCAAAGCGCTAGAAAATATACCAGAAAAATTTATCTTGAGAGGGAATCGAACCAAAAACCTGACCCCACTCATTTTTTTAATTCCGAGCACCGCTCAGAAAAAAAATAAGCATCGTCTATATTCCATGTTAATGCCCAGATTGCGAACAATAAAACGTCTGGAGAAAGCGCTCCACGTCCAGAACGACTTTCTCGGTCAGCAGCATATAATCTCGATATTATTCGAAACATTTTGACAGCCTGACAGCCGAAGGTTGAAAATATTGGATAGTTTGCTAGTTTTCCCCGTGGAGCAGCAAGCCAGTAACAGCAAGCAATACAACAAGTGGAATGCATTGTCACTTAAGCAACAGATAACAGGACGAAAACAAAACAATTCGCTTTCCAAAGGTCAAAAATGTCAATGAAATTCTGCTGGGAAACAAGGATAAGCAAAACATATGAAAATCGGACGATTGCCCATCAATGGGCCAAACTGTATCGATTCAAGCACAATGTTGGCTTGATACCAGCAATCATAGCGAACTCGTACGCGTCCTTTCTTCGTTTCATTCTGCACAATGCCAGAAATCAACCGCAATAAAAGAAACTTGTCTTCCCTGCAACTGCAGCAGTGAGTAGTACTTATAAATAAGTGGGAATTATAACGTTGCCCCTCGAAAAAATATTTGTTAACAGAGCCAAAACAAAACATGTTCTTTGCTTTCCAAAGGTCAAAATTATGAGAGAAACTCCAAAGGAGAATGGGAAAACGGCGAAAATTGCTGAAAATACGACGAATGCTCATCAATCGACATTTTTGCGGGTTCTCGGCAATTTGTTTTGTTTTATTCATTGCTGAATGGTCAATTAGTATCCTTGGTTTCCTTTTTGGGGGCGTATAACACGCAGCCTTGCTATCGAGGAAATTGCACATATGCAGAAAAATCGAAGTGAAAGGTGTTTGAGCTTTTGGGCGCTCGAAAACCTGAGTCATAGTTCGTGTGGCATCAAAAAGTACCTACAAATATCTTGATAACACAAACGCTCTGCGTGCAAAGCTCTTTAACGCTCAGTTTTTCCCCAAGTTAAGCCATTGTCAAACACTGGCTCTCTCTCCTCCCCCCCCCCCTCCCCACCCTTCTCCACCCCACTCTGGAACAATTCAGGAGTAACTTAGGGTCATTAGGCATCAACGATTTCGAATAATTGGTGTCTGAGAACTTCCCGCTTGTGGGTTAAATAGTGCTTATTTATATATTTTTTTGATTTTATTTTAATTCATTGTTTCTCATTTATAACTGATTTGGTTTCTGACAAACTATTGCAGTGCACCTACGAGTGGCGTAGTAAAAAATAAATAAATAATAAACAAAACCATAAATAAAGTATGACGCATAATTGCTGACAGGGGTCATCAACGAGATTTCAGGTACATTTCTACAGGAGAGCGTTCCTTTGAAAAGTCCCATAACTCTGAATTCTTGTCGTAGTTTCATCGAGTGCGTATATTGCAAGAGTTCCGATTGCATGCTTCTGCTCGTCAATCGACGCCCAACAGCCTCTAAAAGATTTATGGTCAACGTTCCCACGTTTATAGTTCCCACGTTCATAGCAGATTAGCCGGACCCAGGACAATCACTTCCCGGCAGCTCTTTCATGCTGACTCAGAACTTTTTCGGGTTTCGTAATTGCGTGCTATCTCCCATCGCTAACACACATTTTTTGCCAATTTCATCCGGATCGCTTGACGGAAGTGTCCCCCTTCACGTCAGGTCTCTCATCCAGAGCGTGCCAGGATTGCCGTTGCGTTTGGTTGTCTCGCACGACCAAGATTTTTGCCGTTTCAGGGATCGAACTTCCTTCAACTTCGCACATTCGATTTATGGAAAAAAATGAATAAAAGAAACAAAAACATTCTAACTGACAAAAGTTGTCCTTTGATTCAGGTAATATATGCGTATTTTTTGTAGGAGTGTCAACGGAATTTCGAGCTGTTAAAAAACATAGGCGCCCCCCTCGACCATTTCGAAAAGAGGAGAAAAACGAAGGGAATTGGTTTTATTTTGCAGAAGGTATGTAATTAAGGGGAAGTACCTAATAATCGAGTCACTTACTGAACGATAATTATAGTGAGTCAAGCAAATTTATCCCTCATAGAAGAGCAATGAGATTTTCACTAAAGTAAAGGCGTATAAAAAAGCTCAGGTGAAAACTTGAGTGCTAGGCATTTCATACCTAACGGCAACCCAGCAATGGGTTACTGTATGACTTCATTTGGAAGAAGAAAATCTCGCCCATATAAAGACATTATTTTGTCAGGCTATAAATAATGACCGTGTAAGCAACAATAATTTAATGCCTCCATGGAAACATTAATTGGAAACGCGAGACAACTAAAGTAGGAGTGTGTTATGCTTCAGCGATAAAACCCGAGAGACATCCGAAAAACACAAATATCAACCGTTCGAAGTTAAAGTCGTCGGTATAGAGGTAATGAACGAAATTGATGAGTTCAGTGAAAAAATAAAATATTAAGAACCGTTGAACCTATGGGATGAGAGTGTAGTATCGAGATAATGCCTTCCATAGGGAAAAAACTTTTTGTGGTAAAGCCCAGCGAATTTTACCGACCAGGTCGTCTTTGCTTACAATTAAACCCCTTATCTAACGGATGATTGATGTGCGAAGTTGTACGATAAAGGGGAAAAGGAAGCAGCATGTGATTAAGGAGGTGAGGGAGCATCTTGAGCGCGCGCAGATCGATTAGCTTCTCTCCTGAATGAAAGGGTGAGTCCGAGTTCACATAAGCGGCAACTAATATGTAAAGATGACGCTCCTGTGCTCAAATCCCACGCAACTACGACCTGCGACATGTGGAGCATCGAAAAGTAGGGGCCATTGTGATCCTTCAACACGTCATCGTTCTGCCTCAGGTGACTCAAACAATCATTCAGGGTTCAAGAAGACAAAGCAAATCAGATTTCACTTCATGTGATTGCCACCTCATTCGAACTCTACCTTTCCTGATGTCATCACTGGAATCAGAAGTTGAATTAGAAGTAGTTGTACTTTTTGATCGCAAAAAATTCGCTTAAGAAAAATCTAGTTTCCTCAACCGAAAGCGACATTTAATAAACTGCTTTAAGGCTGCTTCTGAATTGTCCTTAGAAGGCAAACACTTTTCGGAATACTTGTCACGAAAATCTGAGACGTTTCTCGTGGAGGGGAGCAAGAGAGATTGCGGCGCAATATCCCTTTCTTTCAACTGCTGTTGTAAAATTCCGGAGATTATTTCAAAAATAAAACCCACTTGAAGAGCCTAGACGCATAATGACAAATTTCCTTAATGTGCCTTGAGGAACGGCGTGGTGAAGCGTACAAACTGTGTCCATTTACCTTTTCAGGTTCGATCCTTGACATGGCAAAGAAATATGAATTGCGCAAGACTTCCGTAGAGGACGACGTTCGTGATGTCATGCATCAGATGGCAGGCTGGCTTGAAGTAGACGCTTCACAAAGTGATTTGTGTGGAACGGGCAAAAAATGTGTTCTAGTGCTGGGAGATAACACGCAAAAGTAATTCTAACAAGTTCCGCGTTTCGTATAAGAGGCTGCCGAGGAGTGATCGACCTGGACCAATGGAGCTGCTCCGAAAACGCCACCAACGTGGGAACGTTGGCCGTAAAGTTTTGATAGGCCGTTGATTGAGTGGAGAGAAGAAACATGCAATTTTAGCACCAGCAACAGATGTATTCAATGAGACGCACAGCTATCAGAACATCACTGAGCTACGAAAAGAACGCAGAATGTAGGGAACTTATCACAGGTGAAACTGCGAACGTGCTCCAGTGCTGCAGCGGCGAAATGAACCAGAAGCCTCGCTGAGGCTGGTGCCAGACTTTGTGAATCTATCGATTCGCTAGCGAATCGGGGTATGAGCGTTGCACCAGCGGATCGAGCTATACAGGGGGGGGGGCAAAAAAAAAGAAGACATACTGTCTATGTCGGACTTCGGCCCTTTTTTCTTCGCAGAGATTGACGGCGTTGACGGGAGTTTCTCAGCAGAGTATCCCCTAAATGTCCCTCTATAAGTGAACGCAGGCCCTCCTTCACTGCCCTCACCGTCTTCAGAATATGACGTCATCTGGCACCGTCGTGAGGCGCAAGGAGGTCTACTGTAAGTGCTTCAGCCTGAAGCTCTTACACAATTTCGCGATCGATTTAATGTTGGATACTTTTCTAGAGGCGTTAGCTACCACTATACAAATCATCTCGAAACCAGCTTTCCAGTAAAGGTCGTTATGGTACAGAATCCTTCGAAGACCCCATTGAGCTCGACCAGTGCACTATGTTTCCAGGGCAAATTCTTCTGTTGCCATCCACGTGAGTGGCCACCTTGAAGATTTTCTTATAGAGCGAAATGTGCTCTTCAATATTAAGTTGGGAACACTCGGTCTCAGTTGAGCAAAGTGTGTTTAAATTCATCTGAAAGTGGAGACAAAATGTCTTTTTTTTAATGACCCCCCCCCCTGTATACCAGCGGATTGAACTACAGGGTGTTCCATAAATACTGCAGCACATTTTGAGCTTCAATTATGTGGGTGTTTGTAGTCTTTTTCCCAAGGTTGGCATATCTTCACTTCCTATAACCTCTTGTGGATAACACGTGCACCGCTTACCATTCGTTGTACATCCCATAGTGCATCTAAACCTCCATAGAGGTCATAATCCCTCATACAGTTAGATCGGACATACGGTGATGAACATCGCACTTCTTTGGACTTTTAACCCCTTCGCGACCTACCGTGTACTGAAGAGAAGACCAATGAAGGTAGTTTTTGTTGCAGTCGCCGGACAAGTTCTGGCATCTTGGATCTCAGGAAAAGCATGAAGAAGCGAAACGACTGCAGTACCCGGGCTGGTTCGAGAAAGGTGACCAGGACGCTGAAGTTTCTAAGCACAGTCATGTGGAGAGTGGTCAGATAACAAGTGCTCACAGTCCATTATAAGTTGCATACGCACCACTGCTCAATACAACGGGAGGAGCACAGCACAGACAAAAAGTTAAAGAGCTGGTGTCGAGGGCCGAAAACGGGGATCATGCGAGCACCGTTTTATCGGCGACAAAATTTCTCCTATGGAGCAGAGCTACAATCTTCAAACTGTGAGGTTGCCCACATGAGGTCCCGTGGAGTCCAACCAGAGTGAAAGGAATATTCGTCACAAGCAGCCGCCAATCTTTATCACGATTTGGGCAAGGGTCTCAATCACAGGTGGCTCACCACAACCGTCTGTTGAAAAGCGAATAAAACTCGATACAGACCTAGCTAACTCCATGCTCCAGTGCACCATTTGTTGTTGTGGTACCTGGTTTCTTCAAAGAGGAACGACGGCCTCTCAAAGGTAATCAGCTTCTGCATAAAGGGCAAAAATTGTTTAAGACTAGTTTCACGATACTGTTCCCCATTTCACATCCTCAAAGGAATGGTTCTCATATCTCTCGTCTTCAACCTGCTGGACCATCCTATTTGGGCTGTATGAGAGGACAGAGCCTGCACTAAACAATGCGTCCAGATAGAGAAGCTGAGACCTTTTCTTAGAAAGTTACGAAGAAGGCACTGCAGGATGCCATGCGGGAAACACTAGAGTTGTGTTCGAAGCAACTGGGAGCCATACTGACAGCGATAGAGGGACTTTTCGAATAAATGTCATTCCTTTCAACAGCTTAATGACTGGCTAAGAATTGTGTATGACCACATGAAGATATGTCTACTTTGAGAGAAGTTACAAGTTAAGAAGCGTGTTGCAGTATTTATGGAACACCCTGTATGGATATCGAACGGTGTACCAGCGACTCGACACTGCGTGAAAGTGGCTCTCATGCCCTCATGAGCTCAGATAAAGTGAGAACCAAGGTTCACAGAGAGTTTCGCCACTTTCAACCGCTGGTAACAGCTCAATTCGCTGGCATTACGCTCGCATCCCGCGATTTGCTAGCAAATTGCTGGATTCGCACAGTCTGACACTTGGCTGACGACGGTAATCAGTTGCACAATACAACCACTTCATAAGTACTCCCGGAAAATATTTCAGATATGGGAACTGGCTCATTTTTTGACAAGCTCACCTCTGTGAAAACCAAGTCCTAGTCAATCTTTGTCCTAGTCATAATGTTAGAGGGATACATATTTGTTATTTTATTTTTTTTAATTTTTTTTGATACTTTCTTTATTGATGCCATGGAAACTATTGCCATATTGCTCAGTTTTTCGAGGGCCGTCGAAAGCTAAAATACCTTTCTCGGCGATATTTCTCCTAGTAATTTCCACGATAGCATAGCTGCGTGATATACGCCTTCAAGAAGGAAACCAAGGCCCCTAATTGACCAGTCAGCAATGAATAAAACAAAGGAAATTGCAAAGAGCCGCAAAACAAGCGCCTCGTTTTTGCGATTGATTTCTGACGTTGTGTGGGAATTAAAGGAAAAAGGGAATGCGAACGAAGCACTATAACTGTTGATATCAAACCAACATTGTGCTAAAATCGATACAATTGTTGTCGACTGGTAGGCGTTCGTCGAGTTTCGTCTGATTTGCGGTTTCAATTGCTTTCCAACAATTTTTTTTTGATATTTTGGACCTTCAAAAAGCGAAGCATTTTGCTTTCGTACTATGAGCAATTGCTTGGATAGGGGACAGCTCCTTATTTTTGCTGCATTGCCCACTGCTACTCGTTGCCAAACTTAAAACACATAAAATCACAAAAACGGAGTCGTGTCCTGAGAAGATCCGCATGTATGGAAGCGTTACTGGTCCCTCTTGCTCTCGAAATCCCAACAAATATAGTGGTAGAGATTCATCTTTGGTGTAAAAGAAGAGATTAGAATTATAGGAAAATAAGGTTCATATAGTTGCAATGTTGGAGATGTATGTAAGTTTTCTCATTCATAACAAAACCGTTCTTCTCGGAATAGAATTTTGATACATTGGTCAAATTGCATGTTTATATTGAATTGTTTTTGACTGTTAACTGCTGTTTTTGACCGCTGTTCGCTTGCGAATGTTTCACAAGAGTGCTGGGTTGTGAACAAAACTTTCGCCCTAGGCGGGACTAGAACCCGCACCCCTCGCTTTCCGGGCAAGTGCGCTACCAGTCAAGCTACCAGGGCACCATATTTGTATAACTATACTTTATGTTTATGTGTAGTTATACATCCCTACTATATATACTTTCTTTGGACACGAGGTTACTCTCTATTTTTCTTGAGGGTGAAGGTTTAAAGAAGTCGCTCGCCTCCGTTTTTATGCATTGAATGACATTTGAAATGACCTCCTCGTGCGCTCATCGGTGAAGTAAGACCAAAGAGTACGAACAGAAGGAAATTATTCTACTAAGTACTTCATAAGCACAGCCCGGACTACCAACAACACGTTTCCTTTTTGTAACTAAGGTGACATTCAACTGAATTATTTTCAACACAGGTCTTTTAGAAAAAATACTTGATTTGAGTTTACAAAACCTTATTTACCCATGCATCTCTGTCCTCCATTCAAATGGATGAAAATGCACTGTTGATGCTATGCCAGTGTATTTCGTTACAGGTTATCAGCTTTGTGCTGGAATGCCACTTTCTTTTCAAGGATCATTAGGTTTTATTTTGAAAATTTTTTTGACATTTCATGTCTCGAGTTTATATGATAATAAGACGTCGTTGTTATAGCTTGATTCACTTGGTTCTTTTTTGTTGTATACCAATCTATTAGGTTGGAAAGAAAGTCCTGCAACACCCTTTTTAAAATTTTTGATTTTAATTTTATCTTTTTTGCTCACAACTCCTGACGGTCTTATATCTACCACGAGTGTCCAGCCCTTGTCTCCAACGCTCAGGAAATTTCTTGGTGCTCCTTCGCCAAAACCCCGTGGCGTGCGGGTAGAGAAAGGAGGCGACCTCACTTTTAAGTCAAAGTTTATCGTCTAATCATTTCATCATCAAGATGATGATTTGAGGTCCACGTTAGGTGGCAGTCATTTATAGCTCGACTAGGGGATTACGCTAAGAGAGGTAAGAAATTTTGGCTCAGCTCCAGAATTTCTTACCGGGCTCATTCCGGATCATGGTAATTCGCAATGTCATGGAAGAAATGAATATTGTCGCGGCACGAGGGCTCCTGGCAAGCTGCTTCGGATAGCTTGTAGAGTTTCACAGCGTAGACCTCTAGCTACACAATGGTGCCCATAACGAAGTATTGTAAATGAGCTTCCGTAAGAGCCCTTCCTGTAATGGAGTGTGTAGGACGCTGCTGGCTTCTGATAAAAATATCAAAAGATCGGAAGCGCTGGTAAAGGGTGAAATACGCTGTAGCGATGAACGACATGCCTATTGAAGCTAATGCAGATAGTGCTGGTCTTTGAGACGTATC